AGGAATAACGGTCGTAAGCTGGCAGAGGGTAGATTTAGGCTATATATCAGGAGGCACTACTTCACGGTCAGGGCGGCTAGGATCCGGAACCAACTTCCAAGAGAAGTGGTGCTGGCTCCTACGCTGGGGGTCTTTAAGAGGAGACTAGATGTACACCTTGCTGGGGTCATTTGACCCCAGTACTCTTTTCTTCTATGGCAGGGGGTCAGACTAGATGATCTACTCAGGTCCCTTCTGACCCTAGAAACTATGAAACTATAATTTATGGTACAATAGAATGGGAAACCAGGCACAAAGATGTTCCATTTAATATGACAGTTTTGTGGCTCATTTGTATCACGCTTTAATCTGACTGTGGCACACAGCCCAACACCATGCTGCATGGCATGCCTATGCTGTGCAGCTCAATGCCAGGTTCACAGGCCTGGCAGCTGTGGGCACAGGAAGCTGAGGACCAGGGAGCTGCCTGACCCACAGCTTCCTCTGCCCCTGCTCTGGCATGCAGGCAGCTGGCTTCACATGGAATGAGGACCAGAGAACTCGCCATCAACAGCTCACTGTACACTGGCATGCGTGTAGCCAGCTAGACACCTCAGCAGAAGTGTGATTGGATCTTAGGAATTTTATCTCAGGTCCTAACAAGTGTACCTCCTGTCATGTGAGACCATGAACATCTGGCATGGCAGGATGTGCAATTGCTGGGATTCAGGATAAAATTCCTCAATTCCATCACACACTTACTAACATCTGAAAGGGGCCTAAGTGACAAAAGGTGACAAAAGGCAAAAGGACTCTCATCCTTCTCTTCCTTTTCCTCCTCCTCACCAATGTTTCAGAGACTTGCACAGCATTATGTTTGTACTCACACAATGTTCATCTACCCCAGAATCTATGTGGCTGAAATGGAGCCTCTGGAGCATGCTCAGAAGCAAACTGCATGGCAAGCAGAGCTACACAAGTGGAAACAGAATCTAAACATGTTATAAGTCCTGAGAAGTATGCTTACACAACTATGCAAGTGCCATTTAGGCATGGAAAAGTAAAATAGGATTTGGCCAAAAAGGTACAACATAAAAGTGCAGAGAGTTGGGAATAAAAAGACTTCCGGGGAAATAAAAGAAGTAAGGGAAAGACAACCAGAAGGGGGAAAGAAAATATGGAATCTAAAAGGAAAAGCAGCATAGTAGCCCAAGATGGAGACTGAGCAGAGAGAGTATTCAGCTATGTCAAAAGCAGACAGAGAAGAGAATCTTAAAGTTGGTTCAAAGTAGCCATTGTACACCTAGTCTAAACAACAGGCATTTTACATTCTTGTGAAAAAAATATTTAACACACTTTAAAAAACAAAACAAAAAACCTTACCACAGTTAAGTTCTTCTGGCGTTATTGTGGCCACTGATCTTCCCTGGATCCTTTTTGGATATTCACAGGTAGCTGCTGCTTGGGCATTACCAGATTCTGCATATGTCTTCAACAGCTCTGCTAGCCATAGAATTTCACAGTCACAGTGGAGAGCATTTGAGTCTAAACGCCTGTGTAAAAGAAGAACCATCCACTATACTTCATAATAAGCTAGGACAATTCATTAGATTTTTAAAAACTATGATGCAATGCTCCATGTCTATTTATTTACTATTACATATGAAAACCTCAGTTAAAAGAAAGTTATTTAGTCCCCTTTTGTACATATGCATTATAATAGAGTGTACAATTACATAATAGCAATGTTTATTCTAGAAACCTGTCATTATTCATGGCACAGGACAGACAACGCTCAGTGTTGTAGTCAGCAATTTGATATTATTTATTCCCATCTTCATCTAAACCACCTAAACTCTATGGTATTTTTTATTATACTTATCTTAAGAAATGTATTATTAGCATATGTTATGGAATTCTTCTTCTAAAATATCCATTATATATTTTAGAATATTGAGACAATGCCCCAGATATTTGTTTCTAACTCTTCTTGTATTCACTAAGGCCTTAGGTGCCTGAATAGGATCTACTAGCTTTCAGAAAGTCATACACTGAATCAATCACACATATATAATTATATATTTGTTTTCTCTTCAAAGCACATCATAGGTAATGAGCAGGGACCCTGTTTTTCGTGATAAAAATAGCAAATTCTCTGATAAACCCCACAAATCCATGATTAAAATGAAATGCCACTATATATCTATATATATCAACTGAACACAATGTTTTATTGATATAATTATAATTTTAAAGCAATTTGGAAGCCAACCAGTGTCTCAATCACAATAATAAAATGAATTCTAAATACCTATAACCTATGGTATTTTATTTTGTGGTATTTTATCATGGAAAAATTAGAGCTCTCACTGCCCTAATAATGTACCCCCTGCTCACCCCGTAGCAGTAGGGGGCACAACCCCATACCACTGCCCCAGCTGCTGTTGGTCGGGCGGGGAATACCTCACCAGGGAGGAGCAGGGCTCACAGTAGCAAGCTTGCCTACCTGGCAACAGTCTGCCCTGCTGTGCTGGGTCCCACCTGCTGGGCTGCAGAGGCCGCAGGGGAGAGTAGCAGGGCAGGGAGCCCAAGCCTGCAGCTGGAAGCCTGTACCCACCCTACACACAGATCTGGGGAGCACAGGTTCCCTCTGCCCCCATGCCCAGGAGTGCATGCAGCGGCAAGATGCCAGCCCCATCCTCACCCCCCAGATGAGCCTCCTGCAGCCCCATCCTGCTTCCCGCTAGGGTTCTGCAGCCATACATTCTGGCCCTGGGCCCCATGCCTCACCTGGGTGGGCAGGAACCCCAGCTCCAGCCCTGCCCAACTCCCTTCCTCCTTCCCTATGGGGACTCAATCCTCCCTCCCCGCCACCAGACTTACCTGTTGGAGCTGCTCTCCAGGCTGCCTGGCGGCCATGTACATATACATTCACATGGCACCCCATGTCTGATCACCATCCTCCCAACCCCCTGCAGGATGGAACTCTGCCAGCCTGCAGAGAGCTCTTTGCAGAAGTGCAAAATCCACATTTCTCCATTAAAACAAGAAATCTGCATTTCTCTCAAGTAAAAGGGGAAATTCTCATTTTTCTCTGTTTTTCCATAGGAAACGGAAACCTGGATCCCTGGTAATGAGTATCGCTATCCATATGCACAAAACACATACATTTTTATTATTTTATACATTAAATGAGGTTGGGATCATATGGAAAAATAGTATGTGATTACGTTATTAAAAACTAAATCATAATATTAAAACTAGATCATACTGCATAGCTGTAACTCACAGGGGCTCTGGCCTAGGTGGGAGCAGTAACCAGTGCCCTGTCTGTCCACCCATCACTATGATACTTACATAATGTGAATATATGTAAGAGTAGAATTAAAATTAAAAAAAAAACAAAACACCAACCTAGATGAAGCATTTCTTGACAACTGAGTTATCAACTTTGTGTTCTAACTTTATTTTTAGATAGCGTATTTTTTATTATGTAAATTCTTAGGTTTTAATTTTTAATAGAAAAATTAAAGAATATATCCTATTATATATAACTAAAAATCTTCCCCTCCCTCCTCCCTTAAATACTAACTGCAATATTTAAAGCCTGAACTTTCAGCAAAGGCTTCCATCTGTTGAGGTACATGACTAATTACATGGGCTGATAACATAGGGTTCCTTATCCTGTGTAGCTGAACTGACCTTCAGAGGAGGAGACCTAGCTCACTGAAACACACATGATGTTTTCTTCAACAACTAGGACAATGATGTTCCAATTTCAAAGGCAGAAAACTAACTCCAAAATAGCTCAGTGAAATAATATTATGAACCTGACAAGGAATGATTTGATTTGTAAGTGCCTTAGTTTTTTACAATTTTAAACACTTAATTTGTGTTTGAGCTGCTTAGTACATTCCTAAATCAATAAAGCACTCTGAAAGATGTTATAACTATAGTCACAGGTTAGTACAGTCAAATAACAAACAGAAAATATAAAGGGCAACAACTATGATCTGAGACGATAAAAAGACAAGATTAAGACATACTGAAGGAGGAAAGGTTCAAGGAGTAGTTTATTTAGTCTAGAAAACAGAAGACTCACTGGAGACACGGTCAGAGTTGATAAATAACATAAAGATAACAGATGAAGGAAGAGAGTTAGTCCTAGTCACAGCCACCAAAAATTGTGGGATAAGGAACAATGAGCTCAAGAACTGGCAAGAAAAGTTTAGATTAGGTATTAAGAAAAGTTCTCTAGAGTAAGAATAATTAGGCAGTAGAACCCTCTGCAATGGAGGGTGGACGCTATAAGATGTAAATAGATTATTTTATGTTCTCCACTATAAAACTAAATTAAATTCACTTACAGTCTCTTCATTGATTCTAGATGACTAAAAGTCCCAGGAACTAAATGAGCTATTCTGTTGTTATGTAAAAATCTGTTAAAAAACAGAGAAAGATGGACATATGAATCCAGAATCAGAAACACTTTCACTGAATAAGTTTTTTGGGGGGATTCGTGCAAAAGAAGCTAATCTTACAACATATAAAAAGTAAACTTGGTTTATTTCTTGTAAAATCATAAGGTGATTCTTGCTTTGTTTTAAAAAGGTATTCTATTCCCACCTTTTTTCCCCAAGACGAACTAATTTCAGCATCTACAAAAATATGCTAAATATTACAAACAACTTGTAGCAAGGAAGAGTGGGGAACGGACACACCAAATGATTTATGTTTATAAAACATTAGCAATATGAAATTCTTGTCTTATCAAATCTCTCTGTACAACTATGATGCCAGGCAAACATCAATCACATTCTTCGGAATTGGTTTTGAGATTGCAAAACACACCTTAAAAATACTATTGCATCATTCTCCCAGTCTAAGGTCTATTCATATTAAATGCAATTTGGAAGGTGCTTGGCACTTCCCAGAAGGCCATCAGCACCTTATGGGATCAGGCCAACTATGCTAGCACAGTTTTATGTCAGCACACACCTATATACATAACCACGTAAAGCTCTACAAAAGATAACGTTGCTTCCTAGTTTCAGAATAGAGGATAGCCTCATGCAAGCTGATTCTACTGTATCGCACCCTAAAATAAAATAAACAAACTTACAGTCTTTCAAGTTTTGGAAGATGGGTAAAGGACTCAGGTTCCAATGTTTCTATTTGATTAAAGTGCAGATACCTGTAAATGTGTTTAAAAAACAAACAAACACACACATAAAATTTACTTACATACTTTATAAAGTGCTTCTCATTCTGTCAAACAACTAAATGACAAATAGTTCATTGTATTGTTTCATAATTGCCTTTTGATGCCATTTGGATCATATCCTTTGACATGAAAGAAGTAAGACTTACCTAACAGGAAGGCTGGAAAAACTGTTATACTGGTACCACAAATTAGATTTTTGGAACAAATATTCATATTTCAAGTAAGCTGTTACTAAAGCTAAACTTTTATTAAAACCATATATGAATAGCCTTTGTACAACAAATGAATATGAAAAAAATACAGGAAAAATGCGTATTTACAGATATACAACAAACTACTTGCAACCTTCAGGCAGCACCAACATTTTTCATAGGTCCTACAGTTTGAGAGCCATGTAAATAACTGAGACCAGTCAAAGATGCTGTCTGAAGTGTCACTTGATAAAGACCTCTACTTTCTGCACTATAACTATTTTATCAGTAACTTAAAACTGTGAAAGGTCTAAAATTCCCGCTGCCGCAAGAAAACTTAACTTAAAATAAGAACTCTCCTGCCTTGTAAATAGAAGAATTCTGTGCTAGAAAACAATCATAATACAAAACTAGCGTCCAAATGCTGGATCTCTCCCCACATGCCAAAAAAATAAAAAAAGACAGTCAAATAGTTAATAGCATCTGGTATGTGAATGATCGCTGAAAAAAAGTCATTGAGAAAAAAAAGAACTACTTCACATAAAGTCTATTAATGATACTTCTGGACTATAAAATCTTTGGATATTAAAATAATAATACTTGGTACTTATGCTGGATTTGAACCTGTAACAACTTTAATGTAAGCAAGAGCCATAAGGTTGGGCTCATGTTGCTTTATAAAGGTGAATTCATCATAACAAAAAGTGTGCCAGGGACAAATTACCCCAACTTCACAAATAAAACAACAAGACGGAAAAAGCACACCTGAGCATATAGGACAGGAAATGATTTGTGCCTCTTGAATCCTTATAATATCCAAATGTATTCACACCTCTTAAAGTTTGGTCTTTGACCAGCAGCACTTTGCTTCTTTAATACACATGTATTTTTGCAATATGAAGAAGGCAGAAGAGTGAGAAAGCCAGTGATACAAAACAGAGAAACATACACCAAATTCCTCAGCACGAGGTGTGAAACTGAGGAGAAACAAACTTTTGAACACAGAAACACTAACTGTGCTCTAGTCTCAGACAAAACCAAAATGATCACCACATGCCAGGTATTCAGTTGAAAAGGAAGAAATGGGGACCACCTCAGAAACAACCCTTATTCACAGGACTCGGGCACATACACCACCCACAGCCAAACAAGTGCCCAGCAGTCCAATGTTAATGGGCTACGGACAGGAAAGAGGGCCGTCCAACCCATCATTATAAACAATGAGAAACCATGATCCAGGAAGCAATGTCAGCAAAGGGTAAATAGGAACTATATAAAAGCCACAGCTATAATACAAACGTAAATGTGACAAGAGACTTCTGAAGCCAACAAGCCCCATTTGCAAACTTCTCTCTACTAAACTGTAAAGCATTACAAAAAATAATTAAAAATTCTCATACATTTTGTATTGTTAAAGAGATGCTGTAGCCGTGATGGGTCAGGAAATGTGAGAGACAAGGGCTGCTTGCAGACATTAAAATAAACAAAACAAAACCAAACCACACACTTTACCGGAGGTAGCGGCGTGTTACTTTGATCCGGCTCCGCAGCATCTGTATAGGTCAGGTGCTTCAGCATTATCAGTATCATGGCGCTTTTACCTAATAGCTGACTGACTCACTGAAGTGCCCAATCTATACAGATGTGAGGCGAGCCAGGTTCAGCTAACACGCTGCTTCTTCTGGGCACGAACTGGGCTTGCTGCAGGAGCATGCCAAGTTTAAAGTACTGCTGCTTTTTTTTTTTTTTACATCTAAAACCAGCCAAGGATTCTTGTGGATGATGTCTTTTAAATACAGTGCATTCTCTTCATGTTGCTATTTCTTATGTGCAAGAGGGAAAGGTTTTAAAGGCCAGAAGATTTTATGAGCTTTATGACATTATGAGTCTCTTGGGAAAGCGCTCCTTTCCCTCTTCCCAAGAAATATTACATCTTTTGAAAAGGTTTACAAGAGATGGGTCATTCAGTCAGAAACTGTATCATGTGATTGAGGTCAAAAGCTCAAAGAGCACATTCCAGATACTAAAATACTCAGTTTGATATGAATAATTTATAAACAAACCATGAGCTCAAATACATTTGAAAAGCTATTCATTATGAACCCCCCCACAAATCAGTACTAGTCCCAAATGTTTTCTCCAGCAATCCATGAATAGAGAAAGATGACAAAAGTGAAGAGGAAATTATTTGCTACAAAATACCTGACTTCCTGCCAGAAAAATCGCTAAGGTTACAGAACCAGTTACAAAACTCTGATTAGAAATCAGCAGTTTTGGGGTTTGATTGAGTGTTCTCTTAACCACTCTATCACTTTTCATTTTCTTCTGCCTGAACCAAGTACCCATATGAACTCCTTCCTTGAGTATTCAGTTCAATTCAATTCCAAGTATATAATGGAGTGACACACTAACAAAACGTAGCCTGAAATAAATCATAATGAAACATCCTAAAGCCATTTATGCTAGAAAATAACCTTGCAAAAACTACTGCTTTCCAGGGGGTATAATCTCCTTGTTAAAAATTATCTAGTACCATTAATTTGATATGAAAATAATATCTATTTTTTTACTTTCAACTATTAAAAAAACCCTTATATTCTGTCTTCTGAACTTTGATTTGGCTGTTAGATCAAACAATCCTGTTCAGGAAAAAAGGAAAGAAAGAAAGAAAGAAAGAGAGAAAGAGAGAGCATACTTTATTAATCTTGGAAAAGGGAGTGTGTAAGATGTAACTCACCCCAGGTAGCAATAACTCTATCTTGCTTAACAGCACTTATTCACCATAATCTTATGCAGGCAGGTGCTGAACAAAATGGGTTTGAAATGACCTCACAATTAGAAAGGTCAGAGAGCTGCTTCTGAATAGATAAAATAACTAATCAATGCTTGAAGAAAATCCAGAACAGCAGCAGATACACATATCCTTTCTCTTCACCTATTTTTACTAAATTAACACTCTTATAAAGGTAGGGTAGAGAAAATCCATTTACATTTATGTTCAGCTATTCACCTCGTGGAGACTCTAGAAATGAAACTGAGTTAAAGATTCTGTTTTGTATTGTAGTTTGACTCTGGAGGAATATCAGTGTTAAATGGGTGGGGGGGATGGGAGGAGGAGGAAGAAAGCCATCAGCATGCACATTTCCACAGTAGTGGGGATGGTCTTAACCTAGGAGAGGCTTAAAAGCAGCCTGTGCGCTCCATCAATTTAGGTCTACAGTCCTCATAACCACAGATCCTTGCAGAAAAGTCTTTAAATTCCATAAATTAGCCATTATATACAGCTTTTTAAATACTGGGTGTGCCAGCAAACAGAAATACAGTAGGTGTGTCTACATGAGACACTTTACTGCGCAGTGGACTAAGCTACTGTGCACTGAAGTGTTATCATCTGCACATGCACACATTTACTGTGCAGGAAATTAATCTACTGCACAATTAGTTTACTACCTA